CGTGTGGGCCTCTCCCCGCATGGAAGATGGGCATGCTTTGGGCATGGCTGCCCCCCTCTTGTTCCCTCTCCCCCTCGCTCTCTGCCTCTTGCTGCTTGCCCTTCCAAGGGAAGAGGGACGACTCCTGGGGAGAAGACACGCCAGAGGGACCGACAGGCTGGGGGGGGGGGAGGGGGCAGGGGAGGCAGGAGAAGAAGGAGGCGCGGACTGGGGAGGGGGGGGGCAAAGGCTGTGGGGTGTGGGGTTGGGTTAGGGGTTGGGTCGGCTGTTGGGGGGGTTTTGTTTTTTTCGTCTGGTGTGTGGTTTTGGGGTCTGTTGAGGGGTTTGGTGTTTTGTGATTTGCGCTCGAGCGTGGGGGGGGGGGGGCCGAGAAAAGGTGGTGATCTGCCGCAAGGACGGGGAAAGCCCCCACCGCGCTGATGAGATCCCTGCGCCCCGTTCGTGGGCTTGTGTTGCGCATCACCTCAAGGCTGCACGCCGTGGGGGCTCACCGGGTTCGAGCTCATCAGGGTGCGGTTGTTCTGACCAATGACGAATCCCTGGCCGGTGGGGCTGGTGGCGGAGGGCTGGCTCCCGGCGGTGGCCAGGGTGGCAGTGGTGCTGCCGGCTGCTGCCTCACGGGCCTTCGGCCCTCCGACGGCGCTGTTGCTCCGGGACATGGCTCCGGCCGCGCGTTCGGCGTCATCCTCCCGGTGGTACACCCGGAAGGTGCCGGTGCCATTGGTGCTGGAGCGCCGCTGTGGGCCGCCACCGCCCGGGCCACGACGGCGCCGGCTCCAGACCACCAGGCCGACGGCCACACCACTGACCAGCAGTGCCGCGCCGACAGCCCCGACGATGGTGCCAATGAGGGCGCCCCCTTGGAGGCCGCCGCCAGCCTTCGGCCCGGGCAGCTGCTCGGACACATTCTGCACCCGGACCAGCGACAGGACTGTCCAGCTGGGCGCCGGTGGGGGTGACATGGTGGGGTCCTGGCCGGCGGAGGAGTCCTCGTGCCCGGCGCCCGGGCCGATCGACCGGAAGATGTGATCCGAGTCCTGCATGTCCGGGGTAATCAGCGAGAAGTAGATGCGCGTGCTGTG